CGGGCAAGGCAGGAGAGGTCTGCTGTGCCATGTGGGTTTCTCCCTGGCCAGAGGGGAATCAAACTGGCACTGCAGAGGCTGTGGACAGCTTTGTAGCACAGCGCTCAGCTGCTGCGCCACCAGGGAGGCCCATGTATCCGAAGTTTTATTCTAGTCCACTGGCCACTTACTCTATCTTTGTACTAAGACAACATTTGATATTGTCTTCCTCAGAATTGTCTCAGAGATTCTTGACAATTTGCTGTTCAATATGAATTTTTTTTAAAGATGATTTTATTTATGCATAAGAGGACTGGGGTGGAGGCCAGAAGTGCAGGGAGTGAGAGGATTCATCAAAGACAGAATGGGGAGCAGAACAGGCAGATCTACTGAAATACACTGCTGAGGGGGGCAGTGGGAGAGACAGGAAAGGTCTGCTATGCCATGTGGGTTAGCTCCCTGGCCAGCAGAGGGGGAGGGATCAATCTTGTGCTGCTGTGGCTGGCGATAGCTTGATAGCGCTGGCACGCTGGACCACCAGGGAGACCCAAAATCAAAATTTTTAAAAAATAAAACCTTGGTGGTATTTTGATTAAAACTGCACTACATTTATATTATTAATATGGGGAGAACTGACTTCTTTATGATACTGAGTTTTCTCTTCCAGAGAAGATTTGCATTTGTTTTTACAGGGACCTGGCAGCACTACTAACCTAGAATCAATCTAAAATTGCTGGCTGGAAGGTTTGGACCATATGGTAGTAGGAATTTGGGCTCCTCACAAGCATTAAAGCTGGCTTGTAGTTAGAAATTCACAGAGATTTTCTGACACCCAGTGTCACATTCCAGATGAACAATGTAGTTTATTTTTAGGTCACCTTAATAGTGAAAGTGTAACCCTTTAGGGTTCTAAACTTATGCAGTTTTCTTCTAGACTCCTCACCTGGAACTGACCCTAAAATTAAATCTCCTGTCCTCTCCTGTTCTCCTCATACCTGTCAAATGGCTCAAGATCATCAGCATTTGGTAGATGCCTCCATATTAAAAATCATAACTACTACTTGCATTCCTGCTTCCACTTCATTTTTGGTTCAAGGATTCTTATCTTCCTTGTCAGCTTAATTATACATTAATAAATGTAGATTTTAAATTTTATCTTGAATTTCTATTTTCAATGGAAAGGTTCAGGATATTTTAAAGTCTTCTATAGCCTAATTTTTATCTGTTTGATTGACTAGTTTTGGAGGGAGCTATATTAAAACTCTTACTATAATTATAGACTAGGGGCCCTCCCTGGTGGCGCAGTGGTTGAGCACTGGGTTGTGAAGCTGCCTGCAGCCTCTGCAGCGCAGGTTCCATCCCCGGCTGCTCCCCGGCCACCGGAGGAGGGTCCCACATGGCGCGCAGACCTCTCCTGCTGCCCGCTGCTCCCCTGAGCTGTGTGCTTCGGTCCTTCTGCCTATTCTGCTCCCTGCTCTGGCTCTGGTGAATTCTCTCACCCTTCCACGCTTCTGACTGTACCCAGTGCTTGTATAAATAAATAAATAAATCTTAAAAAAAAAAAATTATAGATTAGGAAGTCCTAAAAATTCTGTTTTTGCCTTGAATATTTCAAGGTGCAAAATAAGTTCATGAGTATTATATCTTCTTGATGAGTTTTTTCTTTGTATATATATAGTTGCATTTTATCTCTTCTAAAGCCTTTGGTCTTCCATCTGCCCAATAATGATAATCTGCATCAAATTTTCCATTTCTGGGCAGTTTTGTTTTTGTTATTAGATGATTTCCTTTTTATTCAAATTGTGTCTCTGTGTCTTTAAACAAAGAAGATCAGTCCATTTGTACTTTCTGTGAACTAATCATATATTTGAAACTATTTCTAGTTGTTTTCTATTTGTTTCCTTTGTTTTTTTAAAGATTTTTTTTACTTTATTAGGCTTTCTTTTCTTCCACTGATCTGATCAGATTGTCAATATTCTCTTCTCTCTCCCCCTTTCTGTGGTTTGAAAACTCTTATTTCCACTGCTGTAATTACTGTTAGTTTAGTTTTCATTTTCATCATATACATTTAATGATACAACCTATTTATTGTTACTATCTAGAGATAAACTCCACTTTGGTAGCCAATAGCCAGACATAGCTTTCTTTGATCCTTACTATGTGATTAGTCTGAATTGAGGTATGCTCTAAGTGTAAAATATACACTTAATTTAGAAATTTCGCAAGAAAAAAAATGATGGTTAAAATATCTCAATAATTTTTATACTAATTACATGTTGAAATGTTTTAGACATACTGGGCATAATTATACTATAAAAATTAATATCACCTGTTTCTAGTTTCTCTTTTAATGGGATTACTAGAAAAATTTTAACTTATATATGTGGCTAGAATTACAATTTTATTGGACAGTGCTAGTCTTAGTTTTAACTTTGTTTAAAATGCACTCCTCTCTCTCCAAAAAAAAACTAAATTATCTTTCTGCAGTTAATAATATTTATTATATTACCAAATTAAAATTTTTCATTCTAGAATAACATTTTCCCTGGACATGACTATGGATAATAACACTGAGAATTAGTTTGCCTTAGTATTTTAAGATATTGCCCCATTTTCTCCTGGCATCATCTATTGCTGATGAGAAAACTTCTAATAGTTTAGTTATCATATCTATAGGTAATCTGGTTTCTAATTTTGTACCTTTTAAGATTTTCTTTTTTATCTTTGAAATTTTAGAATTTTACCATAACCTGTCTAAATATGTATTTATTTAACTTACTTGATATTTTGGAATTTATTTTGATTCAAGGACTCAGGTTGTTCTTTTCAGCTTTTGTATTGTCTTCAAAAATTAGTTCTCTACCAATCTCTGCATTTTCTTTTTCAGTGTTTCTTATTATTACATATACATTGGATTTCTCAATTAATCCTCTGTGTCTTTTAGCTTCACATTTTTCTCCTTTTTCTGTGCTCTAGGTGAATTTTTTAGTGCTATTTTCCAGCTCACTAATTTTCTTACAATGATTCAATGGGCAAAATTTATCATATACTGAGTTTTTTACATAGCAACTACATTTTTAATTCTAAGAGTTGTAGTTGGTTCTTTTCCACATTAACCTGTTTAATCTCTTTTGCGTCATAATTTTGAGCTCTCTTTAAAAAGTATCCCTTATTTCTTTGAATATCCTAAAAATGCTCTAAGTTTCTCCTAATCAATGGAATACTATGCAGCCGTTAAAAAGAATAAGATCATCCCACAGGCACTAAAATGGAATGATCTCTATGTATGTTATGAAGTGAAAAAGTAAAGCATATAATAGTATGTGTAGAATGCTACCATTTATATAATTGTATGTGTATGTGAGTATACTTGTACATACATAAACTATCTCAGAAAGGATAGCAAGAAATTGGTAATAGTGGTTGCCTCTGGGGAGAGGAACTGGGTGTCTAGGGGACAGAGGTGGGAGATAGACTTACTTTTCACTGTTTACCCTTTTGTACCTTTGAATTTTGTACCACGTGCATGTATTACCTAGTCAAAAAAAAATAAATAAAATAATTTATTTTTAAAAATAAAGTCTTTGTTGGACTACTCCATAAAATTAATTTCATCCAGAGAAAATGCCTGTTTTAGTTGCTGATTCTGTTATATTAATATTAGTTATATTCACGAGTTTTAGAAGTTTGGCTATAAGCTCATTTTGACAGGAATGGTTTTTAATTTTCCTCTCCCTTCCTATTTAATAATTTTATAGTTTCTCCAATTTTATTTCTAGATCCCTATTTCAAAACTAAATCTCACAATTCTAGCTCCAATTTCATGATAGTTAGAACTACTGAATATATACATGTAGTCAGTTACCTGGCAAATGGCCTCATTAAATTCCTAATCTTAACGCTGTTTTTTTTATCAGCTAAAACCTATAACCAGGTAATAAGTATCTTTTTTTCTTTTAGCCCTTCACAAATGGGAAAGACATTTTAACCAAATCTCTGCATTCAGAGAAGTGATTCTGGCTGATTCCTGCCTCACATGAAACACTTGGTGCTAGTGAATTGTGACAAGAGCTAAACTATTGGATGTCAGTGCCAGAATGAAAACCAGTAGGCTTGTGGTTTTAATCCTATTATTGCTTTGTGCCTGTGTTCCATTTCTGGTTCACAAAGATGTTTATGTTGTTTCAGAATCTGGGTATGTCTTTTGTGATACTTATTCTTCTGTGTGTTTGGAACATAGAGATATATTAAACTCAGTAGGTCACCTTGACTAGAAGTAATTTCCATATTTCTTTTTTTAGAATATTAAAAGTAATAATTATAAAAGTAGTGTTTCATTACATAAAGTTTAAAAAATAGAGAATTACTCATACTTCATTCATTCTAAGTCATTCACTATTAGCATTTAAAGTATTGCATTCTATGCTTTTTCTTCTAAATCATTTCATCTTTGTGCAATCTTTATCATAATTTTAACCTATATTTCCCAACATTTTTCTATGCTGATATGTAATCTTTGTGACTATCATTTTAATGACTGCATATTAATCCACCAAGCCATTGAACAGTTACTTATTTCTTATTCTGATAATTGAAAGGGCAATAAAGATGTTCTCTGTACATATGTGGTTTTTTTCCTTCAACAATTTGCATTTAGAAAGTAGTGATGAGAGATGCTAAGCAATGGAACTGCATAATTTTACACAGATATTTAGCCCAAAGATATTTAGCCCAAAGACAGAACTAGCAAAATACATGGCTGAGGTTCATAATGATGACCCTGATATATAAAGAGAAAAGGTAAAATACTATGGAAGTGAAAAATGTATTTCTGAAAGATTCCAATTCAAAATGGTGAATAGTTTTGTAATTAAAGGGATAAGTTTCACAAAGGATAAGAGTCACAATTCACCAATGTGGATCATCTAAGAGTATTGGAAAAGGCATTACAGATTTTCACAACTTTCAAAACAATATTTTAGGTCATACTATTAAATTTCACTTTTCACAATAATACTAACCTGATATTATTTACGCAGTCTTCATGAGCTTCAGAAAGTGTTTTTATGTGCTTTGAAGATATAGGGTCGAAAAGCAGCACTTCAGTCTGTTCACAAGCAACTGTCAGGACTGACCTGAAAGCAAATGACACATTTCTCTTATTGATACTCATTTATTTATAATCCCACAAGGTATACATGAATAACTTCTTTTCACACATTAGTAGAAAGTATTTATTTTTTATAAGGATTTATTTATTTATGCATACAGGAACTGGGGTACAGGCCAGAGATGTGGGGGGTGAGAGGATTCACCAGAGACAGCAGGGAACAGAACAGGCAGACTGAAATACGCTGCTGAGGGGAGAAGCGGGCAAGTCAGGACAGGAAATGAGTTGAATAGAGGGCCTTCCCATTTCATACACTTATATAGTTTGTAGAAAATTGGAATATAAAACTATCTTGACCCGGGAGTTTGGTATGAGATGAGATTTCTAACTGATGCAGTGTGTTTATGGCTATTTTTTTACAATTTCAGTTTTGGCAATTTCTACTTTTCTAAGAGTTGACTGTTTCACTTTGGTTTAAATTTTTATTGGCATACAGTTGTTCACATTAGCTTCTCTTTCTACTTTTAAATTTTTTACATTGAAATATAAAATGCATTGAGAAAAATATACAAATCATAAGAATACATCACTGAATTTTCCCAAAAGGAACAGTCACATAACAATATCATGTCACATAGCAATATTATCTTAAAAAAACTTGTATGTCTGGCTTATTTTGCACAGTATTATATTTTGTGAGGTCCAGCCATGTTCCTGCATTTTCATTATTATTATGCTAACAATTTTATTTTACATTCCACTGTTGGTGGATATTTATGTCCTTCTAATTGTAAATAAAGTTGTTTTAAATTCTTGTATATGTCCTTCAATGCATTTATAGATGCTTTTATGTTTGGTAGTAGAAGTAAAATTTCAAACTCTTTGGGTTATAAATTTGATCATCTGGAAGATAAAGAAAAATTGTTTTACAAAGTGGTTAATTTCTCCTTTGATTGTCTGTCTTCTCTGAGCTAAATTTGTGGTTGTGTTTCTAATTTGACAGGGTCTTTCTTAGCTTTTTTTTTTTTTTTTTTTTTTTTATTTATTTATTTATTTATACAAGCACTGGGTACAGCCAGAAGCGTGGGAGGGCGAGAGAATTCACCAGAGCCAGAGCGGGGAGCAGAACAGGCAGACTGACAAAGTACACTGCTGAGGGGAGCAGCGGGCACGGCAGGAGAGGTCTGCGCGCCATGTGGGACCCTCGCCGGCGGCCAGGGATCGAACCGGCGCTGCAGAGGCTGTGGGCAGCTTCGCAGCCCAGTGCGCAACTGCTGCGCCACCAGGGGAGGCCCTCTTTCTTAGCTTTTTTACTTTCAGCCTTTATTTCTAATATATGTATTTAGGGCTAGGTTAGCCTTTATATAGCTTTAGCTATAATTAAACAAATGTTGAGTTTTCATCATTTTATTTTTTTTATTTTTATTTTTTTTTAAATACTTTATTTTTTTAATAGTTTTTTTTTTTTAAAGATTTATTTATTTATTTATACAAGCGCTGGGTACAGTCAGAAGCACGGGAGGGTGAGAGAATTCACCAGAGCCAGAGCAGGGAACAGAGGGGGGAACTAACGAAATACACTGCTGAGGGGAGCAGCGGGCAGCAGGAGAGGTCTGCGCACCATGTGGGACCCTCCCTGGCAGCCGGGAATCGAACCGGCGCTGCAGAGGCTGCGGGCAGCTTCACAGACCAGCGCTCAACTGCTGCGCCACCAGGGGAGGCCCAGTTTTCATCATTTTAAATTTTGTAATGTGTACAGTGATCTCTTCTTTGAGTGAAAGGTTATTTATTTATTTTATTTTTTTTTAAAGATTTATTTATTTATTTAGACAAGCACTGGGTACAGTCAGAAGCACGGGAGGGTGAGAGAATTCACCAGAGCCAGAGCAGGGAACAGAACAGGCAGACCGATGAAATACACTGCTGAGGGGAGTAGTGGGTGGCAGGAGAGATCTGCGCACCATGTGGGACCCTTGCCGGTGGCCGGGGGATCAAACCGGTGCTGCAAGAGCAGCTTCGCAGCCCAGCGCTCAACCGCTGCGCCACCGGGGAGGCCCGAATGAAAGGTTATTTAGAAAGGTATTTCCAAACATGAGATTTTCCAGTTTTTTCTAGTTTAACTTGCATTTTCATTGAAGAACATTCTCTATTCAATTTCAATACTGGGAAATACATAAAATTTGCATTTTTTATTTTGCTTGATATTCATATAGCACACCAACTTTCATTTAACACTTAATGCTAGCAATAGTGTAACTTCATATCCTTTTACTTTAAAACTTTCTGTAATCTTATATTTCAGGTATGTTTTCTATAAGTAAATTTAAGCAATCTTTATCTTTGTCCTACTGAATTTACATTGAAAGTAATCACTAGTAATCTTTACATTTGATCTGTCTTCTTAATATTTGTTTTTCATTTGTCTTTTCTGACTAGGCCCTTGTCATTGCCTATTTTTAAAATTAGTTTTACTTTTCCATGGGAGGTCGACTTTTGTTTTTATGGTTTCTTTCACTGTGCAAAAGCTTTTTTGTTTGATATAATCTCATTTATTTATTTTTGTTTCTCCTGCCACTAGAGTCAAGTCCCCACAAAATTTTAAAGACCTATGTCAATGAGCTTATCTGCGTTATTTTCCCTATGTATTTTATGGTTGCAGGTCTTACATCCAAGTCTTTAATCCATTTTGAGTTAATTTCATCAAGTGAAATAAGTTAGAGAAAGACAAATACGGTATGAAATTACTCATATGCAGGAGATAAAGATAAAACAAAGTCTCAGATTAAAAGAATAAAATGGTTTTTACCAAATGGGTAAAGAGAATGTGGGTGGGTAAATTGGCTGAAGACGATTAATTGTATTTTGGGTGGTGATCAAATGTGGAATAAGATGTTAAATTATAATGCTATTTACACCTGACACCTACATAGTGTTTTAAACCAATGTGACTACAATAAAAAAAATTTTAATGACAGAGCAAAAGTAATTATTTATATATTCTCCTTCGCTATTTAGTGTGTTAAATATGCATTGTTTTACTTTTTCAAATTTATTTTTTTATTTATTTTTAAAGATTTATTTATTTATGCATCCAAGAACTGGGGTACAGGCCAGAGGTGTCCCCACCAGAGAGTGGGGAGCAGAACAGGCACCATGTGGGTTGTTCCCTGGCCTGCCAGGGATCAAACAGGCAGATCTACTGAAATACACTGCTGAGGGGAGCAGCAGGCGAGACAGGAGAGGTCTGCTGTATCATTGTTCATGCTGCAGTGGCTGTGGACAGCTTGGTAGTGCCGTCTTTAACCCTTGTGCCACCAGGGAGGCCCTGTTTTACTTTTCTTTTAAGTGAACTGTATTTCACTTAAGGTGAAGTACAAATCACCACTTTCTGGATGATGCAAGAACTCTAGCACATTCATTCCTTTTATCACATCCTGTCTAATATTTATTTTTTGAATTATCTCTTAGTTAAATATAAATTTCAAGTTCACTACAAAGTCCTGTTTTACAATATTCACTTAAATTTGCTCATTTTCTGTGCTTTCTATTAATTTCTGCATATCTGCTCCTCCATGTGAGGTAATTTTCCTTCACCTCAAAGGATGATTTTTGGTATTTATTTTCATGTAGGTTTGATAGTGATGTATTCTTTCAATTTTTATAACTGAAAGTCTGTATTATTGATGGATTTGGATATGAAGTTCTAGGTAGCAATTAGTGTATTTTAACTTTATTCTGTACATGTTTTCTTTTTCTTCTTTTTTTTTTAAGATTTATTTTATTTATACAAGAACCGGGGTACAGGACCGATGCACGGGAGGGTGAGAGGATTCACCAGAGACAGCGGGAAACAGAATAGGCAGACTGACGAAATACACTGCTGAGGGGAGCAGTGGGTGAAATGGGAGAGGTCTGCTTGCCAAGTGGGTTGCTCCGAGGCTGACGGGGATTGAACTGGCACTGCAGAGGCTGCGGACAGCTTCACAGTGCTGCGCTCAACCGCCTGCGCCACCATGAAGGCCCTTTTTCTTCTTCTTTTTTTAAAAAAGATTCAATTATCTATTTATTTATGCATAAAAGAACTGGAGTACAGGCCAGAGATGTGGAGGGGAGAGGATTCACCAGAGACAGAGTGGGGAGCAGAACAGGCAGATTTACTGAAATACACTGTGGAGGGGAGCAGCGGGTGAGTCAGGAGAGGACTGCTACACCATGTGGGTAGCTCTCTGGCCAGGGATTGAACTCGTGCTGCAGTGGCTGGTGATAGCTTCATAGATTTCATCTTAACCCCTTGTGCTACCAGGGAGGCCCTCTGTATATTTTTTCTGACATAGTCTGAAGCTCATAAATTCTTCAGCTGTATCTAGTATGTTAACCATCCAATGAGTTATTAATGACTGTATTTTTCAATTCTAGGATTTTCATGTTTTTCTTTTTTTTTTTTTAAGATTGATTTATTTATATAAGCACTGGGTACAGTCAGAAGCATGGCAGGATGAGAGAATTCACCAGAGCCAGAGCGGAGAGCAGAATAGGCAGACTGATGAAAATACACTGCTGAGGGGAGCCCCGGACAGCAGGAGAGGTCTGTGCGCCATGTGGGACCCTCGCCGGTGGCCAGGGATCAAACCTGCGCTGCAGAAGCTGCGCACAGCTTCGCAACCCAGCACTTAACTGCTGCGCCACCCGGGAGGCCCTGTTTCTTTTCTTAAAACTTCCAGTTCTCTTCTAAATTTTGTCTTTTAATTCCTTGAACATATGAAATATTGGTTTATTGTTGGGATTTTCTGTGGATTGTGTATTGTTTCTCTCGGTTTTTCAGTCAGCTGATTTCCTCTTTAGTCTGGTTACTTTTTTATTGAGTGTCAGTTATTGTAATGAAAATAATTTAAAGCACTGGGTGTTATCTTCTTCCAGAGAGGATTTACATTTAATTATGGCAAGAACACTAGATTAGGGCCTCCCTGGTGGTGCAAGGGGTTAAGCACCGCACTGTGAAGCAATCCACAGCCTCTGCAGCACAAG